TTCTTCTGGTCTTTGTGGCGGCCACGTGAACAGCTGTAAAATAGTACCTAAAAACCAAGGGACAGGGAAGCGTGGACTGCTCCCACGCAGGGCTCTAGCACAGCAAAATTCTGCTGCAGGAAACCCGGCTGACATCTTTTTTTGCAACAGGGAATGGCAGCTATTGGAGCAGAAGAAAAACCATGCCTGAATGAAAGCAAAGAGGCTTTGGGGAGGCACCAGCTCGGAATAGCTGCCGCCGTCCTTTGTTACACCCTCGCTCAGTGAGCGGGGACGGCCAGGAACAGGCTGTCAGTGCGCTCGGTTCTCTGTATGCAACATCCCCTTGCTAAGGAATAGCAGTTATTCCACTGGAGCACCTACAACCTGGAAAAAAGCTAAATCAGGCTGATTTTTTTAATTTCGAGGGGAACTGTTACAAATATTGAAAAGAAATCACATCTCCTGTTGCCTATTATACAACTGGAAAGCTTAAAATGATTTCTTTTTCTCAGTTCATTTGCAAACTCTCATTAGTGCTGTCTGTGCCTATATGGCATAAAGGTGCCATAAGGGTGTCTCTGAGCGCTGAAACGTGTATTCTCTAAATGAACCAAAAGCGCAACATTCTGTGTCTGTAACTGCAATGTGTGTTAGGGCTACAAAATCCTCTCCCATGAACTCATGCATATTTTACTTTTTGTTAAAATTTACAAGCACCTTCAGATGACAGCAAATCTGACATTTATAATAAAGCCAGTGTTACCTTTTCAGAAAAGACAGTGGCGTGGACCATGACGGACCCTTTTCTGACCCTTACGCCAGAAATGCAATGTTTCCACAGATTTCTTTGATTTTGAAAACCACTCTGTGTGGCGGTGAGATACAGCACCTGAGAAATTTCAACAGCCTAGTGAGAGTGAATTGTTTTAGTAGAGATTACTCATGAGCTACTAATCTTAGCATAATAAAGCCTTTGACTGACTTCCAAAGGACCTCAGTGCAACTCATAAGTAAACTAGTCTTGCCTGCTAGCAACCCAGCGTAACCAAGGTGTTTTCTTGCGGGACAGTATCTTGCACAGATTCCCTGTCCAAGCTAGACTGGACCTGCAGCACGCAGAGTGCCTTTACCCCCTCTGATGGGCTGAGGATGGCCTGGCTCTCAACAAGCGTTCAGCACCCAGCAGGATCAAACCCTCAGAATCTAACTGGGATCTAGGCAGTTCAGATTTCTTATGATGAGCAATTATTAGGCTGTTTGTGCTAGCAAAGTGCAGAAATCTGCAATAACCACGATCAATACCGACTGTTACTAAGCAGATGCCGTCTCCCAACCTCTGAGCGGCTCATTAACAGGGCTTGAGAGAGCAACAAGAGGATATTACTGCGAGGTTCAGAGAAATATAATGTACTGCTACGGGACTTATTACTGGAAACAAGTACCTGGCTGTCCTGTACAAGAGGCTTGCAATCTGTCAATGTCATAATAGGCCTCATTACCTTATTTATATATGAAATCACACAGCTAACTCCTGCAAATATTCACCTGGGATACAGGTTACTGTAGGTAGCTCCTAGGTTAGGAGATCTCTTAAGATCCTCCTACCTGCTCCTACAGGAAACAGGGACGAACAATGAGAGAGACAACATGGACAGAAACTGAGACTTGTTCAAGGTCACTCAGCAAGTGGTGGCAGAGGCTGGAGAGATGAGCACTAGTCACCAGCCTGCTGTGTTAACCCCTGTACTGAACTGTCTTGATAAGTGAAGACTGCAGATCAGGTGTAAAGGTTTAAGTTAGAAGAAAATTCTATTCTTCAAACAGAGTATTAAAAAAATAGTTCTGAACTTTTCCATCTGATAACACATGGAAGATTATTTCCAGCGGTGAAAACTCCTGGACCACACGTATGATAAATATCAGACTTAGTTCTGCACCTTTCAGTGCTGTTGCACGGCTCTTCCCACCCAGCTGGGGCCTCAGCCTTGAGGTGCCCTGTAGCTTAAACCCCAAATATAATGGATCGTAAACAGACCAAGAGTGAATACATTTCTCAGACCCACGACCAGGAGTACAGGATGCAGACAGCTGTGAGAGCCCAGCGCTCTGGAATCTCAGGGGTGCCTGGGTCTAACGCCTACTGCGCGAGAACGTTCAAATAATGAGACAATATGGCCCTGCTTGCAGAAGGGACAGCTCTTCCAAGGAAGAACTCGCGTAACCTAACAGTTGGACGAGTCAGTCAGATAACGTCCACGATAAAGTAACAGTGCTGGATGTCTGAGCAAAGCATCAGAGAAGTGTTCTAAAAAGCTTGTCTGGAAGCCTACAGCAGTTGAAGATTTGTTTCTGCTGCATGGAAGCTTCTTGGCTATAGAGGCATTTCAGTGCCCGCTGGCTCCAGTTCTGGACAGGACAGAGAGGAAGGAGCGTTCTGAGGAGCAAAACAATCACTCAGTTGTGCAAGTGCAAGTGCAAGTGCAAAATACTGTGAAAAGCTGATTGTACTTAATGGAGTTAGCGGATGAAATGCTGTATCCATGGTATCTAAGAAGGTGACTCATGTCACCACTATAAATACTAACTTGGTTGCAAAGACTATATTCTAGTAAAATCTGCATTTGTACTGCATTTGCACAACAAGCCCGTACTGAGGTTCCACTTCTTCCAGTGTTAATAGTGCATCTCTCAGGACGAGACACTGGTGTAAAATAGCTGAGGCTGAAAGAGAAGCTGTGCTCCACACGCTCTGCCTCTCCTTTTCTCAGCTGATGGCACTGAAGGCTGACCAGCAGGCAGTCCTCCCCAGGCTAAGCATGTTATCAAGCATTATTATGAGTGCACCAAATTGGTGAGGAAACATCTCTGTGTACATCTTCAAGAGCTTAATGCAGTAACTGTAATTCAAAATGTTTGCTTCACGCAGAAACAAGTCACTGGCTCCTCTCTAACGTTGTTAGTGCTTTCAGCCATTAAGAATATAGCGATGCCACCTGGAAAGAAATGTAGCTGCAAATGGGATAACCATTAAATAGCTGCATGCCAGCTTATTTGGATCTTTCCTGGGAAGCAAGAACATTGCAGAAGAGCATCTGAAAGTTCCTAGAAGAAACAATAGACTTCATAAGGTAAAGACATCAGGCAGAGCTCCGCTGACGATCTGGAATTCGCATCAGCAAATAGCTTTGGATGTTTGCACTTGGAGAAGAGACTGTAACTTGCCTCCATAAGGAAAAAGGGGGGAAAAAAAGAAAAAAAAAAAAGGCAGCCTCTCCAAACTGGCAGAAGTGCTGTTTGCTTCTGAGCTCAGGAGCTCAGTGCCCCTGAAGAAAACGCAGAGATGTCTATGGATTTCAGAGCACGCTGCTCCCCCAGCTAATTTAATGAGGGTGGAGACACACTCCCTCCCCTTTTCTGGCTAAATGTTGAGGGACAGAAATAAAGCAGTGGGGAAGAGAGAACTGTATTCGTGGCTGGTCTGTAGTCAGAGGTCTTTAAGTGATATAAATAGGACTTTTTAAAAATAATATACTGAATTCTTAATGATTTTTAAGAGATACAAATAACTTTCTCATTACAAGAACCTTCTTCGCTCCCCTTGTTTAAATATTCCTTAGCTCAGTGAAGGTGGAAAAAAGTCGGAAACCTGAGTTGGTTCAACACTATAAGGCTTTGAAAAAAATAGATAGACAAGCACTTCTCCATCTAGGATCACAAAACAGATGAAATCTAGCTGCTTTGGTAGTTTTTTGCATGTGTTATTGTATGTCTTGAGATTCTGATAAAATGGGAAGATAATCAAATTGGAATCCCATTACTATGTACCATTTGTAAGATTAGTAATTTCACAGTATATTAGTTTTTCCTCAATTAATTTAAATGTGTGACAGCACTTGATTTAACAGAGAAGCATGGGTAGACAGTATTCCAACATTGCCGTGAACATCTGTTCTGAGTTACCAAAATTCCAGCTGAAAAACAAATATTTCCACTATAAATCAACCAAAACATTATCCTGAGTGTTGTAACAGATGCAAAATGATTCTGGCTCCCTCTGCCCTGCGGTTTGGCTCTTTCCTTAAAAATTGCTGTGAACATATTTATTTACACACTTCAAGAAATACACATTTGAAATGGCTATTTAAGCTTACTTAGAATATGACTGATGTTAGTTCAAAGCTAATGGTCAGTTGATAGACTTATTAACTACAGATGCTACCAATTAGCATAAACTCTAGTTGCAGCTTTCCAGATAGACCTGGTCTAGAGTAACACTTGAAGTCCTGCTCAAGTGTTCTGATTGCTTCAGCCCAATACTGGTACAAACGATGACTTGGAGTTTGTGCAAGGGGGAGTATTTGGTTTGGGTTTTATATTCATTCCGTTCTGGTGTGCTTTGGTGGGGTTTTTTAGCCCCCATTGTTACTGCTGCTATTCATCTTTAGTCTCATGAGCTAAATTAATCAGAAGAGATCTTGATTTAGCTGGACTAAAGAAATCGGATTTATTTACTCAACATGAAATTTGGAAGAACATCTTGCAAGAGACTTCCTGGTTAATGGTCGCAGTATGTGAATAAAATGGTTTGTTGAGGCAGAAGCTGCAGTTCCATACTTTGAGGTGTTTAATTGCATTAAGCTGCATCTGAGCAATTCTGATTAAAGATGCTTTCCTTTTTTGAAATATTTCATATGTAACAGATAAGCCAGACAAAGAGAGAACTGAACTACGGTACCATAAATAACAACTGAATCTTGCGGGGGGAAAGAGAGAAGTCCTTTCGGTTTATCCCTCTTTGCACAAAATATACTTTGGGGGAAGAAACAATGCTGTGTTTTGAGGATGATGTTTTGTAGTTGTTAATCATTTTCTGTCTTAAATGCTTGGAGAAAAACACTGTGTGTAGACTAAATATAACTGTGCCTTTTGTGATGGTTGGGAAATGGGAGCTGCAGGCTAGTTATCCAGCCCACAAACAATAGGAACACGTGGTCCGTCCAAAGACATGATGATGGCAAATGGAGCACTCAGGGGAAGTAAAAGGGCCCAGCTCACGCTGTCACTGTGACAGCGGCGTGCGTCGGACTGCGTCACAGCACACGGCGGCCCTGGACACTGGTAAGACAAAGCCAACATACGATTATGGGAAAATACCTCCTTTTCCTTTTGATAAACACGGAGCCGTACGACTGAAATCCAGTTTTGGGATGCTCTGTATCAGTAAAGCTGATTCTATGTTTGAATATGCATTTTAAAAAATCCAAGTTACTAATACTCTCTTTTTTCCAAGCCCTTTCAAACTGTAATCTTTAGAGATCTAATCAGACTTTCTGTATCAAATAAAGTAGGGAGATACACGCATGGAATCCAGGGTACATTTGCCTCTTAAGACAGTGTTCATTGTTACTGTCTCTATGTTGCATTACAATATTTGCATAAGTAGGTTTCCAGAAAGCTGGGAAGCCTGGTATGCTGATATTTAAAATATTCAATGTGCATATTCTGATACTGAGATAGCAACTAGTTTCCAACCGAAATTTCTGATGAGGGATTTAAATAGAATAAAATGAGCCATAAGAGAGATGGTAATTTAGGAGAATCCCCCTGGCTGGGCTAAGGAAGGGTGCTGCAGGCCGACATTAGTATCAGGAACCTGTTCTGCTGCTGCATATAACTGAAAATGGGAGTACATTAAAAAAAAAGGGGGGGGGGGACAAACCCCAAACCAGTCTCATCTGCAAGACTTAATGAATCTAAAGCTACAGGATAAACTGCACACAGATTAATAATGTGCGTTTCTGCACTACTTGCTGCTTTTTTAAAATATGTGCAGTTACAATGATTCTTTCATAAAGAGACATAGCATGACTTTAATGCCTTTATGTTTACAAGCCTGATTTTTGTCTGTAGGAATTTGCCCAGTTTTCTGCAGGTCAGGCTTTCTTGCCAAAGAGAGGAGAGGTTTACCACATTTCTGGGTTCTTACTAATCTAAGGCCATGGGATTAAAAACTAGTTTGGGTTTTCTGCAATTTTTTAATTTTTTTTTAAGAGGGAAAGCTGGGAGCAAGGTGGATGTCACAGAAGTACGGGACGGAAAGAAATCCCAAGCTTAGGGCAGCCTTGCAAGACTGAAGCCCAGGGTACTAGTCACTTCACTGACTTTCACAGACCTCATTGAAGAACATGGGGTTTCACTATCAAGTTTTATGGATCCAGATCTGATAAGCCTATGCACGCAGAATACTTCAGGCTAAATTCTGCCTGACCTTCCCCAGCACCGTGCCTCCAGCAAGCTCTCTGAAAACAGCCATTTGAAGTCAGAGAAATCTGGGTCATTGACTTCAATAGAAACTCTGAATGAGGAGGAGATGCTCAGCTCCTGCACCTTTCACTCCTCCCTTCTGTTACAGCTCTGCCTGGGGATGGGCTGTTTTATTCTGTGCTCGTGGGTGCTCTTCTATCTCCAGTAAAACCAATGCCAACTTCCAAAATCAAACAGCCTGAGCATGTAAGAACAGCTATTTCCAACTGTCTTTCTGCAGCATGCAAGCCAAAAGTGAGAAAGGAAGAGGAATGGAGCGCAGAGGAATAAATGGAAGGATCAAGTTGTTTCTCCCATTGGCACCAGCTGGGAGTTGTCCTTATTCAGGGGAAGGTCTGACTGCAAAACAGGCCAGCTACTCCCTTATCGCTTGTCTCAATCCAGTTCTGTCACCTGGCTGGTTACACCTACTGGATCTAAATAATTCACCAAGGCACCAAGGGCACTAGGTGCTTGAAATGGGCTTGAGAGGCTAGTTAATGCTTTACAACGTTAAGGTTGCTGTAAAAAGCACAGCAGAGTATTTGTTCCAAAAATGTAGTCATCATTGAGGGTAATACTTGCTGAGTTCAAACCAGGTCAGCTGCCCAGGCAAGTACATGTATTTGATCTACTGTCACAGTAAAGGCTGACTGTAAACTTTGGCAGAGAAAATTATTAATCTTTCAACTCATAGCATATAAGCAACGACTAGTAATACCTATTTTTCTCAGAACTGGAATGCCTTTTGGAACCACCCCAGATTACTTAAGAGAAGTTCTCCTGCCATCACCCAAAAGCAGTTCCAAACCTGTCTCTCCCACATTCAATTAAACCTAAAAAGAAAAAAAATAGGGAAGAAGAAAAAAAAAAAGGCGGGGGCAGATTCATTCAACAAGCATTTTTCCTCTTGCGAGGAGCCACAGCAGCTCGCTCAGCTGCACGCCATGTGGACAATAAACATGAATTTTTAAGTAATTCAGTGCTGTTGGTAGCGGCTTTCACTTGGAAAGCCAAGCCAAGCTAAGCTACTTCCAGAACCTCTACGATGGTGAAGGAAGCAGGGGACAGGCTTTGCTCCTTAGTGCTTCTCAACCTTGTCTTCAAAAGCTGCTGCTTTTTTAGCTCCAGTTAGGGTGTGGGTATCTGAACGTACTCCTGTGGCTTTTCATGTACCTCGGAGTTATGCATCACATAGTATAGCTGGAAATGTACCGCTGTCTGAGGCCAATCTGGGAACGTTTCACTGTTTTAGGACAAATTAGAACTAAAACAAAGGCTGAAGCTTAAGTCTCTTCAAGTTCTCTCCTCTGGTTTTTTTTTGTGCATCTCACTCGATCCCTTTGTCCATTGTTTTGGCTCCTAAAGGGCTGAGGCGGGGATCGCTCTGTCGATAAACCGGTAGGTATTTAAGGCACTGTAAACCACTTTCTTTTCCAAGCTATCCTGTGCCTTGACCCAAAAGCCTGTTCTCCTGCATTATTTATCCTCTCTTTCCACCTCATAGCTTGTTATCCTTCCCCCCCACTTTTGCAATTCTTTTCTCTGGACAGAACGTACTTAAAACAACTTTACAGAGGAATTGAGTGACACTGGCGGTCCAGCTGGGACCGTATGCATACCTCATCCGAGGAAGGTTTGCTCAAGTTCAAGAGACTTCTCAAACTGCACATACAGCACTGGTTCCTCTTTAACCCTGAGACAGAATGAGGTGGTCAGAGAAAAGGACTGGATTCTTCAGACCAATCTACATTTAAATACATACGGAGCTCTAGGTGACAAGTTGATTATGATATACCTGTCTGCCAGCACAGGATTGGGCATCTTCCCATCGATCGGTTATCAACATTTATGCTGAGCCGTGACTATTCAACAGTCTTCCTGGCCCACTTTTATCCGTGTTGAGGGAAAAAATACAAGTAGGTCCCCTAGAAGGTACTGGTTAGATGTATCCCCGAGGAGAACTTTCACTCAGGCTTTCTGTATGGGAAGAAACGCCGCAATCTTGTCTCCAGAAGGTAGTTCGGAACAGAATTCCCAACCACCCTTGCAGCTACGCAAGTGCAGTACGAGAACGGGAACTCCGGCAACACAGCGGAGAAAACACATTGCTTCTCAACTATGCCGAAGATTTTATTTTTTCTTAAAACAAGCAGCACCTCCTTTGTAAAACATGTTTGAAGTAACTTGGGGGAGGGAGGGGAACACAACGCTTCATTCGGTTTTAAAAGCACGGCCGGGAGATTTAGCAGGACGAGAACGACCGGCTGCCGGCCGTGCCCGGGGGCAGGGACGCG